ATTTACTTCTTAAAGCCTAGTATCATTTGGGGTCATAGCTGCTCAAAGTTTTCTGAGATGATTACATGGGACTTCACAGGAATTGTTTCCTCTCAGCTGTTGATTAGAAGAAAGAGTTCCAACTATAAGAAGTTAAAAAGTGACATTTGGAACATTTATGGATGGTTGATGACAACCAAGTGATGTGATCTGTCCTACCAGAAAGCAGGTGCCGAGTGACTATTCTGGATTCAGCTGTCAGACATCCATCCTGATCACTGATATGTTGTCACAAACAAATTTGGTGTTTGGGGACCTATCAGGAAGCAGATGCTAGAGACAGGAACCAAAGAAAAGCATCTGATCTCAATTCTGGCCCTTAAAACAACTTCCTTTACAAAAAAAAAAAAAAGTAGTGTGCGCGCGCGTGCGGGGGGGAGGTTATTGTGAATAAAACCCCAGGACATTCAATTGGACCTTATGTTAAAAAGACTTGTGAACGCTGTTACTGAAGATGTGATGTGAGAACAGCAGTAATGGACAGAATGGTATGCTTAAAGGGTTCCAGTTCCCCGACTCCTCCCCGCCCCCAGGACCAGAAAAGAGGGCAGAGGCTAGCTGCCAGGCTGTTAAGAGGCGAAGAATCAGAATGTGCATGGAGCCAGACAAAAGGGGGGACCCGGGAGAGAAACAAGCAAGGAAAGAAACTCTAAAGCAATTTCCTCTACTGAACCTATCCTTGTTGAGACGAAGACCGACCTGCTTTGCTTCCAATAATGGAGGATTAGATGTGGTTCCTGCTATAGGACTGGTGCAGAGATATAGGGAGGGAGCGTAGGAGACCTAGAGCCTGGAATAATTGAAAGACGTAACCCATTGGAACTGCTTTGGTGCAGGTTTATGGGGAAAGCTTATCCGCAAGCAAGACAGCTTCAAGTCTTGGTAAAGGCAGCATTGGATCAGGTTAGGCTAGATCCCTGATAAAGGAGTCAGTACAGAGTCAGCACACAGTAAGTGAAGTAGTACTGTAAAAATGTGAAAAAAAGTTGGTGTCTTTGGTCCAGTCCACAGCCTAGAGGTACAGGAAAAGGAAGGTGAATTTTACAAAGGACTGAAAACAGGGGGAGGCTTCCAGTAGATTCTCCCTGATACGTGCCCTTCTGTAAGAGAAAGAGGGGAATTGTCTTACTTTCTGACAGGTGAAACCCAGATTCACCAGTTCCAGAAAAGGTACATCCTGACATCCAGAGAAGAGTTAGAATGTGATAAAGGAAATGGTGATGGAAAGTAGCTGCTTTAGTAATGCCACATCCAGAAGAGAGAGAGTTTTCCCTGGTCTACACTACAAATGTATGTCGATATAACTACGTCACTCAGGGGTGTGGAAAGGCCATACCCCGAGTGATGCAGTTATACCGCCTTAACTCCTGGTGTAGACAGCGCTATGTCATGGGAAGGCTTCTCCCGTCAACATAGCTGCCGCCTCTTGGGGAGGTGGATTACCTACGCTGACAAGAGAAGCTCTCCTGTCAGTGTAGGCAGCGTCTTCACTAAGGGCTACAGCGGTGCCGCTGCAGCGCTGTACATGTAGACAAGCCATGCTAAGTCATACAGGTACACACATTTGGAGCATTAGTCTCTGACTTTTCTTGCTTTTTCTTTACTCTTATTCAAATTCTGCCCCACAGAGGCTAAGTTTTATGGTTTCTATGTAGTTGATGCAGATAATTTAGAGCTATGTAAAAATAATCAAGAGTGTGTTAGTGTCTGTAGAAATTTAACACCCATTTTCCCCCCTTTTTGTTAAATAGTTTTAAGAGATGCTACTGTTCAGCAACAGTATTGTTTAACGTATATAAAGTTAGTCCCTTTGCAGTATCTAGGTGGTATCTCTAAATTGTTAGGGGTCTAATACTCTGAATCTGGCCAGTGTGGATATGAGAACAACTACTTTACTGGAGAAGTGAAGGGCCATCATGAGATATTACATTTATAGAGCACTTTTCATGCAGAAGGATCTCCAAGTGCTTTACAGACTATGTACAAGGATCATTTTGCTCATAATTGAAATGGCAAAAGGGCAACACTTCAAAGTATGCTAAAATATGAATATTTAAAGATATTTTTCATTGGGATCTTCATGGGTGCAATTAGTGTTCCCTTTTAGAATATCTGATTAAACTCCAATGGCATCAAAGTCACTATGTACACCAAAACTGCTGTGTTCATATACATCTGACAAAGACTTTTGCTATATTTTGTCTTTATTCGTCAAAAGGAAACAGAGAAACGGGGAAAACCCCAACATTTCAGCCTTATAGAGTCTTTTCCAACTCCATAACAACAAAAATAGTCCACTTTGGTAAGAGATTTGAGGTTCTCTCATATTTCTGTTTCCTTTTGAAGAACAAATAAGATGTAACAAGTCTGCTATGGGTTGATTATTTAGCCTGTGCATGGCAACTTTGATGTGTCCAGAGATTTCAGTTTTTGTATAAACATTATGGCCATTTACAGCAATGCTTTAGGGAAGACATAAAGAGGCATTTATTCAATTTAAACCACAGGGAAAATGTAGATAGGCACAATGTAATTGCTTGATTTGGATTTGATCTGGGTCCATGTTCCAACAAAATGAGCTGTGGTATGTTTAACAAGAAGTTGTTTGCTTTGAGACAGGGTTAGGGAAACAGAATGGATTACATGCATATATTGCAAGGAAGCAGTGTGGCCTAATGGACAGAGCACCAAAATGACCCTCAGGAGACCTGGGTTCTTTTCTCAACTCTCACTGCTGGGTGACCTTGGGCAAGTTACTTCACCTCTCTGTGCTTCAGTTTCCCCATCTGTAAAATGGGGATAATGATACTGACCTACTTTGAAAAAAGTGTTTTGATATTTACTGTTAAAATTGCATACGTGCTAGGCATTAAGGGGGCAACAATGGCTCCTAGGGAATCCCCCTAGCATAAATTTGCTCCCTATGTGGTGCAGAACTGCCACAATGGTTCTGTAAAGCTAATATAACAGGTCCCAACACAAGGGCTGTGGCTGTGCTCTGCCTATCCTGACATAGCAGATAGTCCATAAGAAGCTGTTGCAGCCAGAGCATAGATTAGCAGCCCAGAGGTTACTGTAGCTTAAGCGAGAGGCCAAACAAATTTCCAAACAGCCTGAGAAAATGCAGGGGGTGAAAGGTGATTCAGAGTCACCTTTTACTCCTGCCCCTTCTGTTTCTGTGTTCAGCATATCACAGAAACATAAGAACAAAGAATCAGGCCCATAAAATCTGTGGTCTCAACATTTTTAAAAGTAGAACCAGCAAAAGGCAACCTTCGTTTAAGACACTTGTGGAAGATTTCTGCATAGTACAGATGCTATCTGTATTTGCTATTTATTTCAGCTAGTAAATGATAATCAAGTATTTTAGATGGTAAAAATAAATGCATAAAATGTGCACAAATATTCAGAGTTTTGGTTTTACATGATATGCAAAAGACCACATCCTCCACACAGTGCTTCCTAAGTGGGTTGCCACTCATTTCAGAATTCACAAATCCAACTTTTCCAGGTCTGGTTTGCATCCTACAAACCTAGCATTCAGGACATTAAAAGAATCTCAATTCATTATAAGTAGAAAACGATGTCATTTCGTCACGACATCAAAAGGTGTTGTGATATAAAGTTGCCATGTGAAGATTCAATACAGTGTTATGCTGTGTAAATCTTGTTTGGTAGCAAAAAGAAAGGTGAGATTCCCGTATTGGGACATTGTTTCATTATGGATTTTGATGGAACAGCTCTATTTACAGCACCACTTTGTACTGCACCTGGGTTTTCCCTATAGGTCTCCCATTCAAGTATTCTATAAGCCTGACCCTTCTTATGTCAGAAATTGGGACAGGTGAGCTTGCTTTGCCTAATTTCAAACCTACTTATGATATTTGAGTCTGAGTTTTGTGTTCTGCTTGGGAGACTGAAAAACAGAGTGGGGAAAAACGGAAGAATGAGGGAAAAATGGAAAAAAAATGCAGGAGGGAGAAAATCTAAAGGAAGAATCAACACATGAGATATTACCATCTGTATGGCACACAGCTTGCACTACCTCCATTTTTTGGAAATTCTTATAACTTTAATATAAAATTACTGGAGTTCCTTTGGCTAAAAAATTATGATTTAGAAAACTCAATTCTCTTTAAAACAGGAAAAAGCATGGATTTAAATGGCTGGGAAAATAAAGATATGTTTACTCAGACTAGTTTTATAAGCCTTTAAAAAAAAGTTTAAAAGGGTTTGCCAAAACCCAGAGCTCCACCACCTTTAAATATCCCTAACCTATTAAATCTGAAAAAGATTACAACCCTAAGTAGCCACTGGCTAGAAAATTGTTCCTCTGGAACATGCAAAAGAGTTGAACATCAAGACATTGAAGTGTTCTCATTAAACATCTAGTTAATCTACTACTAGATGTCTAGTCTACGTCAAGCAATGAGATAGTTAACAATGCTGGCATTTAAGAGGTCACAATTAAGTCTGACCTACACTGGAGGAAGTGGATGACTCTTTGGGTAGTTTTGTTTCAGTGTGAGGCAGCAGATCCAGTAAGACAACCATTAATTGGTTGACAGTGGTAATGCATTCTTCACAAGTAAAATGCCTAAACACTTCATTTTTATTTCAATGGTTGCTTATATTCTGAAGCACAGGGCAAAATCTGTAGGAAGATTCTAAATGCATGGATTTTACATCCCTGCAGATTTCTATTGTCCCAGTACACAACTTTTTCAAATAATGTGTTCCCCTCAATTGACTGAAATCAGCAAACAAAGAGCTTTAATTTCCAGATGCACAAATGATTTGGCTTGAATTAACATGCCTTTTGCAATAGGGCACACATTTATTTGGAACTTTATAGGCTATCAGACTGTATTGGCTTCATGAGCACTGGTAAATGTTATTAGTCAAGTAATGGGAAGCAGTGAAGATGAATAGTGACGGAATACAGTTCTGATGAGCCATACCTAGCTCCTTTTGAATGTTGTCAGGGACTCCTGTAATAGTCTTTCTCCTTTTGACTTTCTTCGGCCGTCTTACCACAGTGTCTGTGTAAATTAGAGACCGCCGAATGCTGGCTTGGCGGTCGAAATTCTCCCCTAATGTGTAGTAGAACAAGCAAAGCAACATTACTTTCAAGCACGCTGACATCATGCACTTTCTTCCACTAGCTCATTGTAGAAATGAAAAAAAGGCATTAATAAATGATGTTAGCTCAGTCCTACAGTGAGGGTATACATTGAAGGAAAAGATACAGCATATCATCACCATAAGGCTTGAGGAACATATACATTATAGAAAGGTGCATGGTGTATGATATTTTGACTCCTTAGCCCTAGTTCAAATCTGACTGAAGCATGTGCCATTCCACTAAAGTCATCAGGTTTGAATCTGGCCCTCTGTGTGTGGTTTTTTTTTTTTGGTTGTTGTGGTGGTGGTGGTGGGGGGGGGGATGGCAAATTTGATTGCTCCTTGAAAATGAAAGACTAACACTGTTCACTTAGGAACAGACATTGTCATGGCAGGACTAATGCTAGCTTCCTCATGTAGCTCCACCAATGCATCTAAACCTTGACCTGCAATATTTTTTTTTCAGTCTGAGCATGATTTAGTTGGGAATTGGTCCTGCTTTGAGCAGGGGGTTGGACTAAATGACATCCTGAGGTCCCTTCCAACCCTGATATTCTATGATTCTGATTCTCAAGCAAACATTGCCAAAGCAACAGTATCCAATTTGTACAGTTATTTCATGATGTGGGTAAACATCCATGGTAACCAGGGTGAGACCAAACTAATTTTCCTTGTGATCTCAGCTATATTTCAATCCCAATCTCCATAAGTGATAGGCCAAAAGTATTAATAAACTGTAATATTGGTTATTATCAAACCTTTATAAACGGAACATTCATAAATGGACTACTACAGAATGAAGAACTCGTGTCTATCAGAGTGCATTACTGGAGAAAGCCTTATAGTGACCATATACTGTATCATAATGGGACCCAGCAGCAGCACCCCTCCAGTTAAGGTTGAGCAGATTTTCTTTAGAAACTCACTTTTTAGGGGTTCACAACTTGGCCATTTTAATTCCCACTAAGATCAAACCAAGTTAATTTCTGAATTATCAGCCAAGTTAATTTCCCCCCCTAAAATTAGATCACAGTGCTCAAACTTTTTTTTTTTATTTAAAAAACCCACGAATAATTTTGTTTTAAAAACTGAGAGGCTGTACACACTTGAGCATGTGTATTCTCTTTCTGCCTTCTAAGTTTTTCTTTAGTAGTTTAAAAAAATCAATGGCCAAATTTGGAACCTCTGAAAAGTGACTACTGCACGTACACAGTAGCTAACGTACTTCTCATACATCTTTCTCCTGGTTTCCTTCACATCAGTGTGTGTCATACAGGTAGCGCTGAAAATACCATAATTTCTACAACACTTTACATTTCAAAAGATTGTGTGCAGACACCTGAAAACACAGGACTAATAATTGTAGCAGTTCCATTCATCATATACAAAGGTTATGACTAAATGTTAATGGATCCCAATGCATAGCATTCTTGCTAACCAAAATCTTTGCAACTGTAACAGTGCATCAATGTCATCTCAATTTTCAGTGTTCTAGTAATTAAAGTAAGACCATATTTAAGTGGGGGCGGGGATTTATTTAAATATGGCTTTAAATACGGTCATATTTAAAGTACGGGGCATTCCCCCAGGATCTATGATAGAGAGGCCCCAAAACATTGTGGCAGAATGTCTACTTTTAGAGGACAGTACTACTACTCTAATAGTATGTCTACACTGCTATCAGGTGGTGTTATAGTAGCACATATAGCCATACCCAAGCTACCTCATTAAAAATAGCATTAAAAATGGATTAGCCACTCAAGGACATACACAAGTCCTGGGCAGGCTTGTTGAGTGGCTAGCTCATGCCACCATGGTAACACTGCTATTTTTAGCAAGTTAGCTCATGTATGGCAATCACACGTCCTGACTGGAGTACAGACATACCCTGCAGGTATGTCTACACAGCAAACACACACCTGGGGCTGTCCTGGGTCAGCGGGCTGGGGCTGCAAAAATCCTGTATAGACGTTCGGGCTCAGGCTGGAGCCCAAGCTCTGGGACCCTGTCAGGGGGGTAGGTCCCAGAGCCCAGGCTCCAGCCTGAGCCCGAACATCTACACAGTAATTTTACAGCCCCGTAACCGGAGCCCCATGAGCCTGAGTCAGCTGACCCAGGCCAGCCGTCATAGGCACCGACTCCATGGTGGCTGCGGCAGCCTCCCTACCAAAACCTCCCCCTTCCCCCAGTTCCTTCTGCCCGCTGGCGGGCCCTGCCGATCAGCACCTCCCCCTCCCTTCCAGCACTTACCGCCTGCCACGGATCAACTGTTTCACAGCGTCAGGAGGTGCTGGGGGGGAGGAGCGAGAGCGCAGCGCGCTCGGGGGACAGGCTGGAACTGGGCGGGGAAAGGGCAGGATGGGGTGGAGTGGGGGCTGGGCCTAGGTGGAGCTGGGGGGGGCACCCCCCGGCAGATTAGAAACTCAGCGCCTATGCCAGCCGTGGCTATACTGTGGGTCTTTTATTCCAGACATATTCATAGACATACCCTAAATGTTATGAGATGCTGGGACCCTTTTTGCTTGAAGGTTCAGGATCATTTGTTAATCCAGCCTTCAGATGAACAACTAACACTTCTACCCACATTATGATAGTTCCATCCAGCTGTTTGGACCTATCAATAGAAGGTTTTTTTTGTTTCTTCAAAAATTTCGTCTTCCATTTAAAAAACAAAAACAATCGCACACAAGACAGTGGGTTCTGAGGAAATTAGAATGCAAAACAAAAAGGCCAAAAAAATATAATCACAAGTCCTCCAGAAAAAAATAAAATTTTAATTGTAATTTAAGATAATTCAAACAAGGAAATCCTCTGTTGATTAACACTGCTACTCCATCCTCATTTGCCATATTCTGCCTTTGATTTTGCAGCATGGATTATGCAACACGTGAAAGTCACTATGTTAATTATGGATCCAATCCCACAACCATTACTCATGCAATCGGTCTTTGGTTTAATTGGGACTACTCATGTGAGTAAAGGCAGTAAGAAAAGGCCCAAATTTATATTGATTTGTATGGATGAAAAATGTTAAGGACAATGAAGAATGTTAAGACAAAGAGGCCGCATTAACAAATCAAGGGCTTGTCTACACTTACTGGGGGATCGACGAGTGGCGATCGATGCATCGACCACAGATCGCTCTCCTGTCAACTCCTGTACTCCACCAGATCGAGAAGAGTAGGGGGAGTCGACGGCAGAGGGTCTCCCATTGACATTGCGTAGTGTGGACCCCACGGTATGTAGATCTAAGCTAAACCGATTTGAGTTACGCTATTCACGTAACTCAAATTACGTAGCTTAGACCGAATTTCCCCTATAGTGTAGACAAGACCTAAGTTAAACTAATCAAATCATGATGTTTCAGTCTTATTTTGACCACTATTTGAGGCTAAAATATGTATTTATCAGGGTCTAATAAAAAATCTAAAAATATTCATTTTTGTTTTTAAGGGTTTATAATAAATGTCCTTCGACGGCCTCACTGAAGTCTATGTGTCTTACTTTTTAATTCATGGGACACAAGGTCAACAGCAGGACCGGCTCCAGGCACCAGCCCACCAAGCTTGTGCTTGGGGCGGCACCTGGAGGGGGGTGGCGCGGCGCTCCGGCCCCCGGGGAGAGCGGGGCCACGGCTGGGCTCGCCACCCTCCCCCCGGCGCTCTGGCCACCCTCCCCCCCGGCGCCCTTCCCCCGGGCCGCCGGGGGGAGAGCGGCAAGCCCTGGCTGGGGCTCACCGCCCTCCTCCCAGGGCTCCGGCCCCCCTCCCCCTGGCCGCCGGGGGGAGAGTGGAGCCCCCGCCGGGGCTCGCCGCCCTCCTCCCAGTGCTCCGGCCGCCCTCCCCTCCCCGCGCCCTTCCCCCCCGGCCGCCGGGGGGGAGAGCGGAGCCGGCCCTGGTCAACAGGATCTAAGTGCATGCTTTGCAGAATCAGACCCTTGCTCTTCATTTTCACCCTTGCTTATCCTACCCATCACCACTAGATACTTTTATAGCTGGAAAATAGTCCTAGAAAACCCACTGCAGCAAGACACCACTATATGTCTCTTGATTAAAATGTAGAACATGCTGTAAAAGCACTTGCTGGCCACCACCCCATCACTAAAAAATGGAGCAAAATCACTTGCGGAACGAGCTCAGCCCCTGTTTATCCTAAAGACAGAATCCATTTACAAACCTGGATATCTAGTCAGCAGTTTGTCAGCCTAATGCAGTAACCATGCATCTTCCGACCAGCCACCAGATTTGTAATAATAATGTGTTAATTGCAATCTGTCCTACTGAAGAGCTAAACTGCCAGAACACCGCCATGTGGTGCACACCCCAGTAAGAGGCCTTGTAGCTTATTCATTATTAATGCACTTTCAGAAATGCTTTCAATTTCCAAAAGCCACTTCTTGGGTTAATATTTTATTTCAGTCAAATAGTAATGAATAGGGATTTCTGTCCCACTTCTGTGCAAACAACATAAAAATCACAAGTTATTAAAAAATTACAAGCAAAGAAACAAAAGCTGCTATGTATGTTGCACAGCATGGCTTAAAGAGTGGCACAGAACAAAGTTTTCATTCTGCATTTTTCCCCTCCCCCATATAAGTAAATTTAACATAGGAAATGTATAGAACAACGTTACGCTGGGAGAAGAATGAATTTTTTGAAACCTGTATTAGACTGCAACAAAGGATAGATCCCCTTCATTACAGCACTCAATTCATTATTTTTCAAGTAGCACAGTAATAATTTCAGAGACCAGGAAACCTTATGGTTCATGTAGAGTAGTTTACATACCTAACAGTAATTTTGCTTTCCTCTAATCACTTTCATAGCGCCTTACTATCACTTATATAAAAGGAATAGAGTGCAAAACAAGCACTTCAAAGAAAGCAAGGTTTGTTACACAACTTGATGAAATTACAAGGACAATTTATACAGATTCATTAACATTTCCAATACTGTATAGCTAAATTAAACCCCTGGCAGTTACTTGATCTCTTATCTTTTTACTCCCTCCCCCCCATCCCCTTCTTTCCATCTGTTTGTCTCCACTGTACATTTGCAGTACACAGAGGTCATTACTGTGAACTGCAGATTACTCAATTTATAAGTATCTTGTGCTCCTGCTGTCACAATATCTAAGCCATGCTCAGACTTATTGATTACGGCAGATAATCCATTGTTCCCATAACACCTCCTTCTGCACCTGTGTATCCTATATTTCCAAGATAATGCCAATTGGTCTGCAATACTTTAGTGTTGTATTTGTTTATGCTGTTAATTAGAAACATTTCATTATTTTCTGGTGTCTTCTTTTAATGTCCAAGACATTTTCTCTTGATTTGCAGATTTCTTTGTAGTGTTCATTATTGGCCTGAAGTTGTATAGCATTGTAAAATTTCACCAGTGGAAACATTCAGCATTAATTCTATGCAGTTCTTTCACAAAACTATATTAATAAAAAATATGTGTATTAAATAGTTATTAGTAATCAAACAGGAGAGGTGAACGCCTCATCTTAATAAATTATTAAACAAAATCAAATATTACATGCTGTTGATTACAATATAATGGTAAGCTTGAAGTCAAATGGAAGCCATGTGAGGTTTGAAATAAGTCAGATACTGAATATCTTCCTGTTTCTGGCATCTAAACATAAACACACATATCCTGAACAACCTATAATATACAATCTTTATAATATTCAGACACAAGGAAGAATTAAGTGATGATTTAATCTTTCATGAAAGTTCTAATTTGGGATACACCAAAAACTTTTCTGGGTCTAACTGGTTTTCAGCAGTGTAACTTCCATAGTCTTAAATGGGAGCTATGTAGCTAAAATCACTCACAACATTTTTTACATTTAGGGTCAAGATATTACTGATACTACGGAAGTATGGAATACATATATACAAAAGGAAATTTCCTCCCAAGAGCCATAAATATAAGCAGCCCAACAACTCTTTTTATATCCTCACCCATATTCTTTCCCTGTAAGCCTCTTGCCATCAATAATAAATGGTTAGATATATATTCCAAATTTTGAAACTCTCCCGCTTTGGGGGACAGAAATCTTTTGATAATTTCCCTTCCATAAATTCTTAAGATAAAATCCTGAAAACCATTGCCAGTACTAAAGCAGATGATTTTCCATTACAAATTTTCATTGTAGTCCATTGCAAAATGTAATGGATATAAATTTTCCCATTAGATCTCATCAATTTTTATTCTGTTTCAAGACCATGCTGTTGGTTTCCTTCATTAAATTAAGTGTCTGACTAGGGTTCACAAACCACTGTTTTGAAATAAAGGTGCAGTAACTAGTATTTATTTCAGCATATTATTAAATCATATGCTTCAGGTAACAAATAAAGAAACAACATTGACTAGGGTGCATCTTTTGCCCCCCCGCCCACAGGCATGCTAAACACCACTGAAATGAAAAGCCTACCAGTTACATTAATAGGAACCACATCTGTTTGGACCGCTTGTGCTTGCTGTCGCATTTTCTCCTCTGGTGTTGGCAATGGAAGTGACTTGGTCCAGTTAGTTTGGGTGTTGATATCAGAACATTCATTTGAAACTGGTGTTCTAGTTCTCTTGATGCTAATAAGCTTTTCCTCCTCTGGGGAAGGGACTGAACACTACAAAAAGAAATGTATACAACAGTATGAATTTCTTATAAGAAAAAAATGTCAAGCCAAATTGTGATAACCTTACTGACAATGAACAGTATTTGACATTGCAAGCAGTCTCATTGCAGCCAGCAGGACTACTCGTGGCGCAAGATACTACTCAGCAAGAGTAAGGATATCACAGCCTGCCCATAAAAAGTATGATCTATTTTTTTTTAATGAAAACTTGTTATTTATCCAACAAACCTGTTCAGAGTATATGTTAAAGTAGCATGAGAAATGATCTTAAGCATGGCAAATGATAAAGTTATTTATTAACTCCATTCCATTTTGCAGTTGTTAACTTCCATGTTCGCCTCCTTGTATGCCTCTCTCAGCAATGTGCTAGCAAGGGACATCAGAACTGAGCATCTGTTTACCTAGTTTTGATGTGCACAGTTTTAGCAAAAAGCCTGTTATGAAGAGGCAGTTTTTTATGCAGCTCAGTGAAGCAAAGAACTAAAATAAAGCACAGGAGAGAAACCCTGACCCACCTCAGTGATGAGGAAAAGGGTATACATTGATAATACCAAGGAACAAAAACAATTAAGTTAACCACCATTGAATTTTACTAGGAAATCTAATTATTACCACACTATCATAGGATTTGCATACCTTATAAAGTCATTCCTTACTAAAGGACCATCCATGCTGCTATTTGTGGGGAGGTGGGTGGGGAACAACAAAGCTTGCATAGTATTTTCACTACCCAAAATTACTGTGCCAAAAAAAGGCTTTCGGCTGAGTGACATTTGTTTAGTGGTACTATCATTTGTTATACTACATGAGCCAAATTCTGGGGTGACGGGTGGTGGAGAGGGGAGGAACGTAAGTGTTAGGAGAAGCTGTGATGTTGGTGGGTCTTCCTCTCTCTGACTACCATGCTCCAAGACCCTCCATCTTACATCTCTACTGACATCTGTGTTTCCGGATCATCAACCTGGGATGGTGTGCTAGTTGAAGTTACCCATTCAGTCCCTTTGTCATTCTGCCAGGTAAGAACAATGCCTTATCAGGGAGGCATTATCAAAAACTCGCTCTTCAATGAGTTATCCGATCACTGCCTCCCACTGCTGTCATTCATTCCTCATAGCTTGACTGTCATATATGGAGGTGGAATCTGTGACCCTCTGTAGGCGCTTTGCAGCCACTACTTATGGGCCAGGCGCTGAGGAAACACAGTTTTGCCCTTTGTATGTGGTGATAAGCTCCAGTAACCTACTTTTCCTCTGGTTGCTTGATACTGTCAGAATCAATAACTGTCACTAGGTCTCAGCTGTCATCAGGCAATCACCAGGGGCTGCTCCAGTATGACAAGTGACAGAGATATTCAGTTAAGAAGCTCGCCTTCTCTTTCAAGGAAATTACTCTGACAAACAGGGCACAGACAATATTTTTCTTTTAAATGAAGCTGTTGTACAGTGGAGTGATCAGATGGAGGGGAAACAATGGCATCTAGACGGAAACACTATGTGGAATCCTGATTATCCAAAGATCTGGGGCAATTGCCTACATTTTTCAGAAAAATCAGGAGTCAGAAAATTAAGGGTGGGGGGGAAATGAATTGACCAGCCAAATGAGCAAACAAATATACAGGTGAAGATCCTTGTGAAAAGTGATTCAAAGTACTATTTGGGCTGACTGCAGCTAAAATGCTGTTTTGATGGAAGCTGCTCTTTCAAGCTAGAGGACGCATTTGTATTTCTGTTAAAAGGGAGTTTTGGAAATTTGGTGCTTTAGGGGGTGGGGTGGGAAGTCAGGCGCCAACTACAGATGATTTTTTCCCATTGTACTGGCTTCTTGAAGCACACAACTTCCCCTTCTTCCTATTCCTGCTCCCAGGATACTAACAGTGGTAGTGGTAGGTATTATTTGTTTACACTTTTCCACATCAGTGTACTGAAAAGGCATGACATTTACAAAGCTGTGCACAGCTCACCTGCTGGGAAACAGCAGCCTGGGTTCGTTTGCCCTGAAATCGTTCATTTCTAAACTGGCTGATTATGGAAGATACAGATTTCTTGCCAAATATGGAAGTAGGCTCTTAAATATTTCAAGGTCATCTACTTTTTTAGGCTAGTGCACACAGCCTTGTACGTAGATTAGATGAGTGACCATTCTAACTGCAAGAATATCTTTTATCAAATAAGGCACATTACATCACAGTGGTAGTGCAAGGGGCAATACTACGAGATTATACTGGCCACATAGCACATCAGTACAGCCATAACACAGAGTATTTCTGAAACGACAGAAAGCAACTTTCCCATTTTAAAATTGTAAAAATTCTTTGCTTCATACTAGCTTTTCTTTTGGACCAATAGGGCCAAATTTCAAAGTATGGCTTCTAATTTGTAGGCACATATCTTTGCATGAGCTGCTTGAATGCTCAGGTTTTTTTGTTGCACTTGCAAAGGATGAACTTGGACCATATACAATTTTTCACTGATGTGCGCAATGGATATTATAGAAAAAAATCTGAATTAAAACAGAGGTTGAAGTGAGATCTCCCCCTTGGAAAATTTGCCTGCCTACAGGGAAATAGACTCAGCAAGGCTGTTTCCTCTAAACTCTTCATCATTTTGTTGGGATTCTGTCCGTCAGTGTTCCCGTTACCTATAAAATGGTTTCTCTTCCTCAGAAGATTTATACTATTTGCTTCAAGGACCTTAACTGGCAACTGACTCTAGGCTGATTATTTCACAGCATGTTCTGCCTAAATTCCCTGTTTACTCTTAATCTCCTAATAGAGCCAGACTGCTTCAAAGGTTTCTAGAAGGTCACCTGGAAGTCCTGTCTTCTCAGATGACAAATTAAACCTCTAGAAACTTGCCCTTACATTAAAAAAACCTTGAAATGTCTAACCATGCCATTCACCCTGCAACCATTTCTATGAATAAAACTCCTTTGAACAGATAAGAAAAACTGAGAACTAAGGTCTATGCAGAGCTTTGAATAAGAACAGAATAGCTTTCTATTCATGTATCACATTGTCCTGTTTGCAGTTTCTTCTCCAGGCAAATACTAGTTTGATGGCTTCAAGTGCTATTCTGTTAAAAAAACCAAACACACACACACCAAACACCTTTACATTTCTATCCTGGTCAATCCACAGTTTGTGTAACTACTCCATTAGTTGTGCACTCCAATCTGTTTTGGATCACTGCTACTTTCACTATGAATTTGCATTCAATTACATTAAATTTATCATCTACTGGTCCAGTTAGTGGCAATCCTCAAATCCCTCTGAATCTGGGAGAATCCTCATTATTGATTATATATTTACCATTTTCACTCTCACTTACCAACTTTGCTATTGGTATCTCAATCATTCACTTCCTATTATAAACAACATCTGAAACCTAACCGCCTCTCTGTTGCAAAGCAAGGTGGCTGGAACTTCTTTTTAGGTACAGTTAGTATTTCTTACATTATTTATCTCAAGATTGACTACCTGGACAGACTTATCTCCAGTTTTCTTGACAAATTCATCAACCCCTTAGCCTTTGCCCCAGAACTCTTATCACTCACTGTCTTGTTAAAGGGAGCATTTTTTTTTAGTAGAAATGACTTAGCTACAAAGAAAACATCAAGTCTTCTAGTATCTTCATCTCCTTCTCTTTCCTCTGTTGCTACAGTGCTTCTTTACTTATTTCTCTGTGTATTAGAATTTTACCATTTGAACAATCTTTTGAAGAAAATGGATGGGATTTTCAAAAGTACCAAGTGATTTAGAGGCATATGTCTCTTAACTTTCAATAGGACGTATGCCTCTAAATCACTCTGGTCTTTTGAAACTCCCATCCAACATACACATGAGCTTTCCTTTTGGACAGTGCCCTTCTGTTAATCTCTTCACTACATTATCTCCTCAGTGTCTTACTGTTTCCTAGACAGTGTCCTTTATGACATTTTATTTCTGCTATGGAGATACAACAACATCACAACTGCCAGCCTGTCACATCCTTGGGGTATTAAGAAGCAGGAAGCAATATAATGCAGGATCTCTGGCTCTCAAAGCAGTACAGGCCTCTCTCATCCTGTATGCACTGAATGAAATGTCATCAATGAAGATCAATATTGTTACAAGAGCCAATTCAGCAAGTCCAGAGCTCCCACAACTCACATCAATGTAGGGTTTTCAAAGGGGCCTAAGGCAGCTAGGCACCCAGTTCTTTGAGACTCCTTGGAAAATCCCAGCTTCAAATCTCAATTCCCATGTGTAAATACTATTAATAAATTTCTTTCCACCTATGATTTGGACCCCAACTGCTGCAGAATGCTGAAAAGAAAAGAGAACCAACAGCTCTGATGAGTGAAGTGACAAATATATATTTTCTTCCCCATTAACAAGCGTGAAGTACTTTTTTCTACCCGTTTGTTGAAATAAAGGCACAGTGTGATGCATCTCTGAGGCCATGTACTCTGTGCAATCGGCATTCCTTATCGTCAAATCATGCTAGTCCAAATCACAATATTTGAAAGCTTTTGATCACTAATAGAACTAGATGATTGTCATCCAATAGCCATTAAATAAAACACACTGCTCATCGCAGAAGTTTAAAGAGAAGCAAGTGTTAACAGGTTTGCAAAGGCGATGAAAATGTGTTACTTTAGCAAGAAAACAAAGGATCTGTGCTGCAAACAACTGAGCTAATGCAAAAAAAAAGGCATGACTGGATTTAACATTACTTTTGTTGGTGGTTGTTTTTGTTTGTTTTTACAAAGAAAACAGCAGCAAGTGAGGAACAAAGAATAAAAGCACAGTAAGATTCCAGATACGCTAATGCTACAGTAACATCAAGCTGCAACTAGGACAGCTGGATGCTTCCATTGTGGCTAGGTACCTTGAGGCTCCATGGAACCAAGGAACAGCAGGCGCTAATGCAAGACTGAGATATGCAGTCTAACAGACTAGACTGTTGAGTGAGAGAAAAAGAAAGAAAGAAAGAGAATGAGTGAAAAAGAGAATGAATGAGAAAAAACATGTAAAAAGACAAACATACTTAAATTATATAAGTATAACACACTTTCAGAAAGCAAGGTGGAATTAGCAAAAACAATGAGGAGTCCTTGTGGCATCTTAGAGACTAACAAATTTATTTGGGCATCACTCCTCGTTGGTTTTGCTGATACAGACTAACAGGGCTACCTCTCTAAAAGGCGGAGTCAGTGACTGAAGTAACACCTTCTTATTTCTAGATCTTTGTTACTAGGAAATCAGATAAGCACAGGCCACCGAAAGTACTGAGAGTGATGGTCTTCTTTTACAAAAAGAGAATCAGTAAGACCAATCAAGTCTTTACTACTGAGATTTAAAATACAAAGGGACAAATTCATCCTTAATGAACTCCACTTAAGCCTTGTCTACGCTGCCATTTTACAGCACGGAAACTTTCTCGCTCAGGAGTGTGAAAAAACACTGCAAGTTTCAGCACTGTAAAGTGACAGTGTAGACAGTGCACCAGTGCGCTGGTAGCTACTCCCCTCATGGGGGTGGTTTTTTTACAGCACTGGGAGAGTTACGGAAGGAAACAATTTAGTTCATATTGTGTGTACTGTAATTTAGAAGTCTTTCCATGAGGAAAAAAAGGGCAGTTTAAATATTTTGTAGTATACGAACTCTCTTTTGGAAAACCATACTTGTTTATTCAGTCTCTCATTTTTAAAAAAAATGGATAAACTCGCCTATACATCCCTGACAGTTCACTGGAATAGTCACCTGGAATACCAGACACTCTGTCAGTCCAAACCTTTCCTAAGCAGACAGTCTAGTGTTTTTTGATGTGAACATCATCCTCTGGTGACTTAGCTGAGAGAACTATACTTACACCTGTTCCATGATTTCATGTCAACTGTATAGAAAATAAAGAATTATCCAGCTACATCACCTAGTCTCCCAGAAATGTTTAGAGAGCATGGAAACTTCAGATAAGTCCATTATCTGAAATTACCATGCTCTATAATATAGTTTTCCTGAAGCAAAAATGGAATAATGCCAATTTAGGGGAAAGTTTCCAAACAGTAAATGAGAATTCATTGATCCATTCATTATTCTCCAATTACAACACTGAAATATGTCCTTCCTCTGGTCTGCCTGTTAAACGTTTGCTTTGATTGCTTTTGATAAACAGCAGATATCATTAGAAAGCTTTCATTAAGAGGGGATGTTTTTGCTGTTTGAATCAGTCTTGCTGCAATATGGAAGAATTCTGAGCTCAAATCCAGACTGTTGCTTGAGTAATTTTCTAAACCCATAAGTGAAAACTTATGGGCTCAAGTCCCAGTTACAGCTACATTCTTAGAAGCCTTTTACTTTTTTACCAATGGGATTAAACTTCAATTTTAGAGAATGGTTTTTGAGAGGTGGTAATTCAAACAAAGTAAAATTCTAGAATATCACTTTAAAGTTAAAAAAAAAAAGTTAGCTACAGATGCAAAGAAGAACATGAACCATTGAAACTCTACAGTATGAAGGGAGAGCCACACTGCAATTTTGCTAATGGGTAAAAATCCTACTAAATTTTAAGCCAGAGTGAGAGCTAATGGTGCTCAGTTAATTAGTGCCACTAAAAACTGTGTCAACCTTGCATCTGTCCATCCTCCTTCACACTAAACCATGCTTTGAGTAACGTGGATTAATAGGAAGTTGTTTTAATTTGAAATAGAAATGCTATTCACTCAAGGAAGTGTAATCATTTCAGAATTCACTGACTAACTGAACAAAATATTAGCAATTCCTTTATTAATCATTTTAAAACAACATACCACAGAAACCTTAAGGATGACAGTGTTTAGTCTCTAAGCAGAATTATCCATGGCAATTAGTCCTTAGTAGGTCTGCTCACCTATAAACAACCTTAATGTTACATCATACCTCACTAATTTTACAAATGCAGTTCTGTGGACTATTTATCTATAAGGACCACAATACTAACTTGGACAACCAGATACTTAAAATAGCTTAAACACACATACAATTTTACACACACACAGCAACAGCTATGAACATATGTAGTCAATACTTTTTTTAATAAAAAGCACATATTATATTATGACTTGTAGTGATTTCAATAGGTCTTTGCAGATTATCATTGTAATATTCTTACTGCCATACTGCATACACAATGGGTTTAAAGGAGATGTTACAATGGATACTGTTAAAGCACAGCAAGAATAGTTGAAGTTTCTACAAAGCCACAGCCCTGTCACTGATGTGAGGCAATGTGGACAAAGGAAGAGGGAAAACTATATGATATTATCAGTCACTTTATATTGAATTCAAAGGACCTGCAGACCTCACAGTGTAGACACAATTTATATATAGACACACATACACAAACACATGGTATAATGTTAGTATTAAATAAGCAAAAAGATAAACTAAATTACAATAAAGATAAGGAAGGCTGTGATACAAACTGACAAAAGAATGCCAGGTTATTGCTGGGCAGGCAATATTTTGTACCAAGATATCACAGGATACAATAACTTGGATACCAAGTGCGCGCCAACACTTATGCACAATGGGATGAGTTAAGGACAGGATACCATTTCGCAGATTGGAATTTTCTAGCTTTTATACAGTTAACTCAGAACTTTAATATTAATGCAACATAGTGTTTCTGTAGCTGAAATGACCAAAATCACATGAAGACTACAAAACCATCTTAATACTATGACTAAACTGTCCCTTCCATCACCCTTTGTTTGTTTCAGTAATTTCCAGGTTCTGAGACAATTGCCCAGTGTTGCTGAGCTGAGATAGGGAACATAATACGAAGCAAACTGACATGCAGTGAGACAAACCATTATCAATGTGAGATCTTTCATTCCCTTGGAATTCATTACAGAGAGATGGGATGCATTAGGACAAAACTTCTGAGTACTGAAATGACATAATCACATTAGACCAGGGTATGAAGTCTATGTACTCGTTGTTTTGTGAACACAGTCATGTTGTGTACCTGGGTTAATGGCCCCACCTGATACTTGATCATAAAAAGATTAGTAAAAACTAACATGACCCTATTTCAAAACAGCTGCCATTGTTAATACATAAGATACACCTTCTCCCTGGAACATTACCAAGCCATTCACACTGTCATCCTTTTATTACACCAATGGGAACTTTATTTATATATAGATACATATAGTTAGAGCTAGGATTTTCAAAGAGCCTAAGGAAGTTAGGTGCTAATAAAAGTTGGGCATCTAACTCCCTTAAACTCCTTTATAAATCTCAGCCTATATAAATAATATGAAGAGCACATTTTATAGTCCGCTTAATGCATTCTTCCCAATCTCCTGCCTCCTTACTAGGGCAGTCAATTAATTGTAGCTAACGCATGCGATTAACACAAAACAAATTAACGAGATAAAAAAATAGCTATGATTAATCACAGTTTTAATCGCACTGTTAAACAATAATAGAATACCAATTTAAAATAATAACAAATATATTTTGGATGTCTTTCTACATTTTCAAATATACTGATTTCAATTACAACACAGAATACAAAGTATGCAGTTCTCACTTTATATTATTATTTTTTATTAGAAATATTTGCACTGTAAAAAAAGAAAAGAAATCGTATTTTTCAATTCACCGTACTCAAGTACTGTAGCGCAATCTCTTTATTGTGTAAGTGCAACTTACAAATGTAGAATTTTAGAGCCTACAAGTCCACTCAGTCCTACTTCTTGTTCAGCCAATCACTAAGACAAACAAGTTTGTTCACATTTACAGGAGATAATGCTGCCTGCTTTTTATTTACAATTTCACCTGCAAGTACGAACAGGCGTGAGAAGGGGAAACAGGCATGGCACTTTTGTAGCCAGCATTGCAAGTTATTTACGTGCCAGATATTAGATAATGTTTTCACCCCTCAGCCAAAAGGCCATATGCCCCTTCATGCTTCAACCACCATTCTAGAGGACATGCTTCCATGCTGAATTTAAATTGGTATTCTATATTGTTTAACAGTGCAATTAAAACTGTGAATAATTGCAACTTTTTTTTTTAATTTCGCAATTGTGTATTTTTTTTTAATCATTTGACAGCCCTATTCCTTACCTTTCGTTCAATTTCTTCATAATCATCTTGGTAATTTCCATAGGCTGCACTGGAAGAAGAAGAGAAGGTTGGACCCTGAGAGTAATATTGAGAACTTCGATAGCCATCCCTCCGCAGCTTGTCACATTCTGCACATGGGAGGGTAAGAAACGAAAAAAAAGAAGAAAAATAACATTTTATTCCCATTCTCTTACTTGTATCAAGTGTCTAGTTTAAGAAAGGCATAAGGATCAACATTAGATCAATTTATTTTTACCTCTCTAAGCATAAAACTCACTTGATATAAATGTATGTAGTATAAAGCTTGATACATATAAGTCTAATTGTAACTAAGCATTTTGATTCCTGTGTAATGTAAAGTACAATAACAACTGATCCTTATCTGTCTGTAGTCATCCCTAATCTTTTTTTCTGGCCAGTTTCTAATATGAATTATAACACTAGACTGCAGACATTATACATACATTCTATTTTTAATTAAGTATGCACAGATAGTAATTACACATGTACATCAGTTCTTACATACATACATCTACTGATAGCATATTACAAAGGCCAATACCTATTACTTTTTTACTGTACAGCAAATCTAAAAAGAAAATACATAGTATTTACTGAAAGTACGGTGATGGACACTTCTACAGTACATTACCATTGTTGAACAGATAATAGGATACTATTTTGAAGTTCTATACCTATAGGTATAGGATAGATCTAATTTATTTCAGGTGACAGGATCTCTAGAAATACTTTAAATAAGAGGGAAAGCGAGAAAGAGAAATTTTTTTTAAGTGTGGTCTGGCTCAGTGTCTTGACACATGGCAGCATACTACAGTATGGGAGATGAAAGTGTGCTAGCAACAGTGAGGGTCTCATTTGCCAGGCTGGTAGACCTCCATAATGTGCCCTACACTTGGAGGGAGGATATTGCTCACTACTCAAGCACCATCTGCTAAGTGGCTTTGGCACTGACCATTCATCTAGCCTCCCAGCCTGGGGAAGACACAACCATTACAGTGTTTTTAGAAAGAGAGGCAGGAGTGCAAATTATAGGGATCCTTAGAACCTCAGGTCAGCCTTTGTCAGGCCACGTGGGAAGAGTGTAAAGTGAAGAGTCTTTCATGTAGAGGAGGAATATAGAGTAAAATTGAGGGAGGGATAAAAAAACAACAACCCAAATTGGCCCAAATCCCAGTATCACTTCATTTCCCTGAATAAAATTTCTGTAGCTGTGTTCCTGTCTGTACTTTTCTTAATTTATATTCAGCGTGATCGTGCTCAAGATTAACAGATGCTGGAGCGTAAGGAAAAATTAAATGTTCAAGATGCAACGACCAAACTGATCCGCCGAGTCAAACTGTGAGTTTTACATTTCCAGAGACTGAAATCTGAATCTGTTGCAAGATTAGCAAAGCACAAATAAAAATAAGTATTTATTACACCTCTACCTAAGTAACTGAAATGTCTCCTGAACAGTGTACATTGTCATGATGCAAACAGCTTTTGTCATTACTTACTGGAGAAGAGATGTTTTGAGAATTAACAGTTTTGTGCCTGCTTCACTCCTTACCGTTTGACCTGTGTGTGTGTGTGTGCGCGCGCGCGCATATATATAAATAAAAATTTCCATTTTTTCTGAATTGAGGGCACCTTTTAAGGAGCAATTTTGCTTGGCGAATCATTAAATGGAGTTACAACTTGCAATGAGAGAATAATTTCGCTTTGTTTTACTGTTTATTCAAAAGGTTCTCAAATCTTATACTCAACAAACTAGGTTTCCCCCACTGATTCCTCTACTGTTTTCAACAAGACATCTTGTGAATAGCAAAGAATACCATACTCTAAGACAGCCTCCAAAACAAAAATCCTTTTTACTGAATACAGGCATCTAATTCTATGAGACAAAGCCTGTTTTAAATTGCAATGTTTTTAATGGAATGCAATACCAAGTTTCACAATTAACTTAGGGGTGAGGGGAGAACAGGATTATGGCACATGATCTTCCCTGCCCCATGAACCTCATGAATGCATCATATTACAAGGCCACATATCTGGTTCAAGGTCTGGTGTTCTTGCTGTGAAGTCGCACAATTGTCTTGGTTTCTAAATCATGGCTTTGTACAATAAAGACAGGGTATTGTGTTTAGTGGGCCCTTCTACTAGTATGTTCCAATCTGTCCTCAAGAGCAGTTACTTTTTACCTCACTGTAACTAAACCGGGAACACCTAAGATGAAGAAGACACATATGTAGAATGATACTGCAAAAGACAACAGACCCCCAATATTACCCCCTAAAAAATGAAGGTGCAACTTTTAAAGATAAATTGCAAAGTAAAATAAAGAAGGTATGTGGGCTGTAGTTGTTGTGAGTGTAACAGATGGCAGTTTCCTGCAATGTCCTAGTTAAACATTATTGAATTAAGTTTAAGTATTTTAGGAGTACACTGTATTAAAAATGTAATTGTTTATGCATAATTGAGGGATTGTATGTAATCTCATGAGGCGGGGGACCACCGCCCTCCAGGAACTAAGAATAGTGGGGAGGTGGTTAGACAAATTCACTCAGGTTGAAACACGTCTAGAGAGCTACCACCACCTGGAGAGATGCTCAAATATACTGGTTCAAACTGGATTTACTAGGGACTAACAGAGAAAGAAAAGATTTTTGGTTAACTAGTCTGAGTAAAAACTGACTCAGGACCTTCTCTCTGATCCAGCAAATGGACAGGACCTCTAGTCCAAGGGGGGCCCCAAACCTTAGGGAAGTGTTGGAAAGACTAATCATCAACCAGAGCCATAAGAATGGCTATATTGGGTCAGACCAAGGGTCCATCTAGCCAAGTATCTGGTCTTCCAACAGTGGTCATGGCAGATGCTTCAGAGGGAATGAACAGAACAGGACGATTATCAAGTGACCCATCCACTGTCATCCAGTCCCAGCTTCTAGCAGTCAGAGGTTTAGGGATACCTGGAGCATAGGGTTGCCTCCCTGACCATCTTGGCTAATAGCTACTGATGGACCTATCCTCCATGAACTTATCTCATTCTTTTCTGAATCTAGTTATAGTTTTGGCATTCACAACATCCCTTGGCAATGAGTCCATGTTAGAGTTAGGCTGTGATCTCTGATAAGCTTATTAGCATGTGTGTAGGTTCTTTTATTGTTTGTAATATATTTTCTCTGTAATGCTTTTATCTTAAGAATAAAAGTGCTCGCTTAGAGGGAACTGTGTGGTAACTTCTAACCATTGGCAATTACATTGTGTACCATCTCTGAAGAAGGAAGTACAGCAAGCCTGCTTAGCCAGTCTGTCTTTTGCTGGGAATATCATAGCATAGTGATCAGACTATGCATCATGGAAATACCGTGGTCGGGGTGGGGGTGATGGTTGAGGAGTCTCAAGTTTCGAGTGGGTAGCCCTTGCTAGACCATGAAGAGCAAATACAGCTTCAGTTGCCCTGAACTGTGACAATTCGTTTTTAGTCTTTGTATGATTTATAAGTAGAGCTGGCCAAAATTCTTCACATGGCACAATTTCCTGTTAAAAAGTGGTTTAATCAAAATCAGACTTTTCCACAGATAAATGTTGATTTTGACATAATTTTTGATTTCCTGAACAGGAGAATCTAATGAAAAATATCCTTTTGACATGTTGAATTGTGGTGTTGAAATTTCCCATATTGACATATTAAATTAGATACTTTTCAGAATTTTCCATTTCACAAAAATTTTCTATATTTTGCCTTTTTGTTCCATTTTGCAATGGAATGTAATTTCAAGATCTTGACACTTCTTGTGAAAGGAAAACTCAACATTTCAAATAAGTCTATTTATAAGGAAAAACTAAAAGGTTATTTTGGGGGTCGGGCGGGGGGGGAGAGGAGAAGGACGATTTTTTTTTTTTAAGGCTTTGGAAATTCAAGTTTTTCTATGCCTGAAGACTCGATGGATGTCTGGAGAACTAGCACATTTATAACATCAGAAATTATTATTATTAAATTTCTGGGTGGCCAGGAATGTGGTAAGTGCCTCACAAAACAAGTAAACCTTAGTCACTTCCCTGAAAAGTGTACAGCATGACACAAGTAAGGTCCACAAACAGCCAAGGGAGAAGGTGTGACAAGGAGAGGATGTCCAAAAGTGGTTACTCGGTAGGCCACATACACTTTTTGATGAGACTGTTGCTTGGATTTTTGTTACCTTTCCTCTCATCACTTTTTGTAAGCTTTGCAGCAGCTGTGAGTATTTATGTGGGATTTGAATGCAACAAGAGAAGTGGCTTGGTAAATAAATGGAAACAGGGAATTCCAAACATAGAATGCAATGTGGGAAGAGGCACAGAGAAGCCTGTGAGAGAAGGAACCAAGGATAATATTACTGTCAGAGTACAGAGGGCTGGGGAAGCCACAAATGAAGACCAGTTCAGAGATGAAGGCAGGACTATACAAAGTTGAACTTTGAGGATGAAGACAAAAGAGGAGGTTACTTATCTATAACCGGAGGTTCTTCGAAATGTGTGGCCCTGTCTGTATTCCACATGTAAGCGCGTATGTGCACCATGCACCTAATCCGGAAGTGTTTCCTAGTAGTGTCCATTGACCCACACGTAGGATAGTGCATCTCCTTGTGCTCGCACTCGAGGATATAAGATGTAGTGCAGGTCGACACTGCACCAGTTTCCCCTTATATGACTGCATACTCTAATCCAAATCAGAGGGAGGGAGGGCAGATAGTGGAATATAGATAGAACTCAAAGAACCTCCAGTTACAGGTAAGTAACCTCCTCTTCTTCTTGGTCCCTATGTGTATTCCACATGTGAGTGATTTGCGAGTAGTGGTCAGCACAGAGGTGGGTGCGAGGATGCAGTATGGCCCATGGTCGCATCCACTGCTGCCGCATGCATTATGGCATAGTGTGTCCTAAGTGTGTGGACAGAGCACCATGTTGCGGCCCGGCAGATGTCCTGCTATGGCACATCCACTACTGAGGCTGAGGAGGTGGCCTGCACCCATGTAGAATGGGCTGTTACTGTCGGGAGAAGGGAGGTTGGAGCATTTGTAGCACTCAAGGATGCACCCTGAGACCCATTTAGATACCTGTTGGGGAGAGAGGGCCTGTCCCTTTAACTGTTCAGCAATGTCAATGAAAAGACTCGGCGACTTCCGAAAGGGACCCGTGGAGGTAGAACACCAATACGCATTGAGGGAGTGCAGGGCCCTGACAGCGGGGGAGGTGTGTGGTTTCAGATGGAACACAGGCAAGTGGATGGATTGACTGAGATGAAATTCTGACATTACCTTAGGAAGGAATTTGGAGTGTAGACTTAAGGAGACCTTGTCTTGTGAAATACCGTGGGGGAGAGGAGAAGAGGGGCTGCCATTGGGGCTCATTTGGTCGAGGTGATGGCAATGAAGAATGCCACTTTTCTAGAGAGGTGGGTCAGAGAGCATGTCACCATGGGTTCAGAGTGTGGTCTGCTGAGGGTGGAGAGAACAGCGTTAAGGTCCATGGAGGTGTAGGCTTCACAACCAGTGGAAACGTGTTAAGCAAGCCTCGCATGAAGCACACAGTGGTAAGGGAGTGTAAAGACAGAGGTGTCATCCACTGGCAGGAGAAAGGCACTAAGTGCTGCCAGATGTACCTGAATAGAGTTGAGACTCTGGACTCATTGTTTTGAGGGCGAGAAGGTAGTTGAGGATGGTCATTGTGTCCCCCGAAGTGGTGGCAGCGGCAATGGGCCCACTCTATGAAGCATCTCCACTTAGCGTGGTAGCAGGTTCTGGTGGATTCCCTCCTGCTTTGGGTGAGGATCTACCAAATCAGAACAGAGCATGCATGGTCTACACTTGACACACATCCAAATACCAGGCTGGGAGGTGAAGAATGTCCAAATTGGGATAGCACTGTCTGCCCCGACCTTGGGTAAGGAGATCCTGGAGTGTGTAGAGACAGACTAGTGGTTGGGTGGAGACCCTCAGGAGGTCAGTGAACCAGAACTGCCGGGGCCAATAGGGCGCTATGAGGATGTCGGTGGCCCTGTCCCGGTGAATCTTGTGAAGAACCTGTGGCAGAAAGGGAACGGAAGGAAAGGCATGGCGAAGGTCACCAGTCCAGGAGAGGAGGAGAGCGTCACCTCAAGAGCCCTTGCCTAGAGCTCCTCTAGAGCAAAAGAGGCAAAGAGTTACCAGCAGGGCATGCCACACAGTGCAAAGAGGTCATTGAGCATGGCATCGTGTATCGAACCATTGTACATCGTTGAGGTATAGAGTTCTGCTGACGACTAGGCAGGTGGGAGGGCGATGAGGTGGGAAGGAGAGGAACTCTATGGAATATCTGTGGTGGATGATCTCCAGTGCCCAACTGTCCATGGTGATTTTGCCCCAATTGTGGGTGAATAGGACAAGACGGCCTCTGAAGATGATGCGGTGCTTGGCACTGAAGAAGGTTCACTGCTCTTGACCCAAGCGTCAAAACTGGCCCTGGGCCTGTGGTTGGGAAAAGGTCAAGGAGGCGGTCATAGTGGAGGTGGGGAAACAAGGCCTCTGAGAGCACTGTTGCCAAAGTGGGAGCTTTTCTGGGCACTGGTAGTACGCTGGGTAAGAGGAATGTGGCCACAGGAAAAAGGGTTGTTTCTGATGTCTGTGTCTGGGGGACGGAGTGTAGAGGCCAAGGGAACACCTTGAAGAGATTGGTCTCATGGAAAGGGAGGTCGCCGATTGTATTTTGGACCTTTTTAGGGAAGCTGGAAGATTGGAGCCACAAGTTCCTGCGCATGACTGTGCTGGTGGCTAGTGACCGAGAGGCAGTGTTGGCTGCGTCCACTACTCCCTGGAGGGCCACTTT